CGGGAACGAGCCTCAGATCTGCCTCCAGGGGCTTGAGATGTTTATAGGATAAAGGGGCAGGGTGGACTTAGGCACGGGGAGCGTGGGGACAGGTGACTGGAAATAAGAAAAAGGTGAGGGACTCGTCATTCTGCGTGGGCGTAACGAAGCTACAGGCCACGTCACGGGAGGTGTGTTCAAAACAGAGGCACTTGGCACGATCTGAGGATGGAGTTTTCTGCCCTCTGATGTCACAGCGTCACTGAGCTGACACACGCATGCCCAGTTGGAGGGTGGGTGGTCCTATCCAGCCTTAACTGCCTCAGCTCGAACTGGACACAGGTGAGTCCAAGTTTCTGGAAAATAACTCAGGCAAACACCTGATTGTTTAGACTGCGTGCTGCTTTGAGGACTTACAAGTTTTTACTGTAGCAACAATTAAAACGCCCTTGATCAATGAAGGCAGATTACAGGTGTAACGGATTTAATTGACGATTACCCAGGGTTTCAGATGTAGCCATAAATAATAGTTTAATTTTGCTATTTTTAAACTTTTTATAGATCACAACATCCTACATATTATTATTCTACAATATGCTTCTATTTCTTCAGTATTTCATCTGTGACCTTCTTTGTGGGCACCTGTCTGGCTCTGATGTATAATAAGTCTAGATAAATAATTGTTAACCTTTTTTGCTTTGCCCCCTCCCACTGCACCCGCCACCCCCCACAAATGATAATGCTTAAATTCACTAGTACTTCACAAGACTCGTTTTTCAAAATGCTCAGTTCCTCCTGTGTTAGTGTTGGGTGACCAGAACTCTGTCCAAAGAATGAAGTGGCCTCCTGCCCTCCCTCTCCTGATACCCTCTGGCCATCCAACACTGTAAGTTTAGTTGTTTAATATTCATTATTCTCGGTTTTACAATCCTCCAATTCAGTCAGATGATAGTATCAAAGTGAGTTTATGTTTTGAGCAGTTTTTAGCTTGTTGAATAATCATTTTCCATTTGCCTTCCTGGGCCCTCCTTTGGTTTCTGCATTCCTCTCTCAGGCTCGCACATGGAGAGAGAGAAAGACATGAAGGGCGTTCAGGAATCGACCTACGGTGGAGGGAGAACAGGAACAATGCCCTTTGCAAAAGAGCTGGGTGGCATGGAAGCAAGGGGAGGAGAAGCCAGAGAGGCTGCCCTCCCCAAGTTGGTCGTGAGAAGCAGGGATTAAATCTGTGATCCCCAAGGCGGCAGGGAGGATGGAGCTATGGAAACAGCTTACTTATGGTTTTGATCTATTCAGGTTCGGCACGAGGAGAATTGCCAGTGAGAGGTATCTTCTCCCAGCACTCCTGTCTCAGGGCTTACCCTTCCCAGCTTCTGGGATAAAGGTCCCACACTTCACTTGGCTGGTCCCATGTGCCTTGACAGCCTTTGCCCACCCTAACTCCCCTCTTTTTCTCTCTTTCCCAACCCCCTTACTTGTCATACTACCTCCTGCCACAGGGCCTTTACACATGCTGCCCCTCTGCCCGAAATGCTCTTGCCTCTTCTTTTTTACCTAGTTAACCCCTTCCCATCCGTCATATTTCAGTTCAAGCCACATTTTCTTAGGGGAGCCTTCCATGGACTCCCCAACAAAGTCACATTTCCTGTTTTAGGTTCTCATGTCATCATGTACCTCTTCTTCATACCACTTGCTTTTGATATAATTTTAAACTTATTTGCATGATTATCTGATTAAAGCTGCTCCCCCTCTACAGTGTAATCTCCTTGAGATGTACTCTTTTCGTTCCCCAATTCTCAGCACTATCTCTGCCCCGGCACAAAGTAGGTGTTTGGTGAGTAAATAAATATTGAAAGAATGAATGAATGAACAATAGAGGTATTCTAGCAGACGCTGGAGGCTTTTAGAGAAGAGCTCAAACATTAGTTGATGAGTGAGATAAATAAATATTAACCCAAGATTCTCTGGTTTTATCATCCTCCTTGTCTCTTTGCATTAATACTTCAGTGTATGCCTGTTTGTGTTCCAATTTTCAGTAGAACATTGGAAGAAGTTCTCAGCACACCAAAAGGAGTTTCTATATTGGCAAAGGAAGTATGTTAACTCCCTGTATATAACAGATTATTTGCAAAATCACTAGTAAATACTCTTGCCACTTTGCAAGAGACATCACTTCAGAAAACACTGTATTTTCTCTTCTAATCGACATGCATTGTGGTGCCAATGAAGAGACTGGCATATTACCAACCTCATTTTTTGCTGGTCTAATGGGGAAATGGCATCTGTTTTACTCAGCATTTCTCTGATTATTAGTGAGGATGAACATCTTTTTATATATTTCTTGGCCATTTATATATCTTGTATTAACTGCCTTATATCTTTTGCCTTATTTATTTATTTATTATTGACGTATAGTCAATACAATGTTGTATCAATTTCTGGTGTACAGCATAATAGTTCAGTCATACATATACATACATATATTTGTTTTCATATTCTTTCTCATTATAGGTTACCACAAGATATTGAATCTAGCTCCCTGTGCTATACAGTATAAACTTGTTTATCTATTTTATATATAGTAGTTAGTATCTGCAACCAATCTGTCCCTTCACAGCCCCTTTCCTCCAGGTAACTGTAAGTTTGTTTTCTATGTCT